TTTATAAATTATCAAAGGTTCATGAGGGAGTGGAGAGTGGGGAGGGAGGGGCAAAAAATGAGATGATGCCAGGGGCTTAAGTGGAGAGGAAATGTTTTGAGAATGATGAGGGCAATGAATGTACAAATATGCTTTACACAATTTATGTATGTATGGATTGTGATAAGAGTTGTATGAGCCCCCGATAAAATGATTTTAAAAAAAAGAAGAAAACTCAATGAAGCACAGTTCTACTGTGACATGTGCAGGATCTCCCTGAGTTGTAATCAGATGAAGGGAAAATAGTAAATAATAAAACAAGTGCCCCTTTCTTGTAAAAAGGAAGACACAGTATATTTGTTAGACAATGAACAGTCAGGCCCTGCCAGTGATTAAAAAAGATTATGTGGATCTTGGTGAAGAATAGGAGTCATATTTATTTCGACAAATCAGTTTCATCCCATTTTATGTTTTTACATTTCCTGCTTCTCTCTACATTGCTCATTAGCAAAGGATCAGAGTGCAATATACTAAAGAGAGTAGGAACTTTTTGACTTAGTTTGCACACAGTCATGTAGGGTTACCACGCACCCCATTTTAAAGTTGTGTTTTAATTCAGTAACCTTGCTTCTGTATTTCAGCAAAATGTTGTAGAAACAAAATCACACCAGGCAAAAGTATGGAAAGCATTACTTTAATGAAGTATTAAGTTTTTAATATGTTACTTTGATGCAATGGTTAAAGTTTGAACCTTGACTCTTTTTTTTCTTTTCTTGTTTTACTATATCTGAAGTTGGAACATTAAAATAATTAGATAACTCTAATCTTAAATGCTAGTCTCCCCGGATTCCCACAAAACCCACTGTCAGTAAGTCAATTCCAACTTACAGTGTGCCTCTATGGGATTCCCAAGATTGTAAGTATTTATAGTTCAGAAGGTGCTGTCTTTCTCCTGTAGAGCGGCTGTTGGGTTTGAAACATAAATCTGTGGGTAGCGGTCCAACATGGTGCCGACAGTGCTCCTTAAGTCCCCAAATCGTACTTCTGTATTGTTTTTTAAAAATCCCTATATTGTCAAGCATTTGCCTGTGTGGCTCATAACAAACTCTGGGTAACATTGAGAAGAAAGGGTATCACAGAACACTTCGCTTTTCTCACGCAGAACAAGGGTATGAATAAATAGAACAAGGGAATACTGAATGCCTTTAAGTCAGAAGAAGTGTGCATCAGGGTGGATCCTTTTACCAGATTTATTAAATGTGTACCTTGAGAAATTGACCAATATGAAGAAAAAGATAGTATCAAGGTTAGAGGCAGTCTTATGAACAACGCTGCTTGCTGAAAGCAAGGAGAACGTGAAGCGTTTACTGACGAAGATCAAGGACTGGAGTCTTCAATACGTATTGCCATTCGGTGTGAGGAACGCTAAAATCCTCACAAATGCCCAACAGCAGCACCAGGATGAATGGGTAAAATAACCGAAATGCTTGAGGATTTCCGTTTGCTTGGATCCATAGCCAATGCCCATGGAGGCAGGAGTCAAGAAATCAAATGACGTACTGCAATAGGTAACTCTGCTTTACAAGATCCCTGTAAAGTGTTGTGAAGAAAGGATGTCACCCCAAAAGACTCATGATAGCTGACCCGTGCCTTGGTATTTCAACAGCCTCAGATACATGTGAAAGTGAGACTGAAGAAGAATCGATGTATTTGAATTATGACGTTTGTGAAGTGCATTGAAAGTATCATGGGTTGCCAGAATAACAAATTTGTCTTGGAAGAAGTACAACGGAGTACACCCTAGATGTGAGAATAGCTAGATTTCATCTCATGTTTGGGGCATGTGAACAGGAGAGACCAGTCTGGACAATGGCATTGTGCTCGGTAAGGTAGAAGGTCAGTGGAAAGGATGAAGGCCTTCAGTGAGAAGAATCGATCCAGTGGCCTGCAGTGCAGGGCTCCACCACAACAAGTGGCCCGCACTGCAGGGCTCCACCACAACAAGTGGCCCGCACTGCAGGGCTCCACCATAACAAGTGTCCCATAGTGCAGGGCTCCACCATAACAAGGGTGCCGAGGGAGCAGAACCAGACAGTCTTCTCCTCGGTACATAGGGGTGCTGTGCACCAGAACAGATTTGATGGCACCCAGCAGAAACAATGCTGTCACTTAATAAATTCAAGAGACAACATATCCTACTTGGTCCAGGACTGAAATGCTGTGATACCAACTAGCCAAGTGAGTGATGGTAGTAGGGGTTGAACTAGAGCAAAGACCCCAACAAAATCCCAAAGGGCGATGCCAGAGCACAAGAAAAGCCAACCTGCAATAGTTATGAGATCAAAGATAGGTACACTCTAAGATCAAAGTATAAGAAGTCGAAAGGAAATTGAGTTTTCAAGCTAAACATTTTATGTTGCTCAGAGACAGTATTTGGGATGAAGTTTCCAAGAAATCTTGCATATCTAAATAGGTTAGCATTTAGAGAAAAACAACACCAGATTTCATCATAACCATAAAAGGTATCTCAATCTAAAAACCGTGGTATATTTAAAGATTATGATAGCTTCCTTACTGATTAAATAAGTGGTATTTGTGATGCTCTGTGAGTCTTTTTGAGCCTTTATTGGAACTTTTTCACAGTGGAAATACACCATGCACTCCTTCTGCAGCATTCTTCTGAAAGGAAGAGTTCTGCTTTCCAATTTTTGTTTTTTTGTTTATATATTTACATGAAAAATAAGAACTTTAGCCTGTACTATGACCTGCATCCAACATCTAACCTACTCTGAAATGCTTTCTTTGATGCCTCTACATATACTGAGCCCACCGGTGACTGTCACCCCAACTCTCATTTTCCATTGTTTCCCTGGAAGGGTATTGCCAGGCAGCCTCCCTGGGAAGTGCCAAAAGTTAAAATTCATGCTTGACTGCTAACTGAACAATTCACTGTTTGACCAGTTGCCCCAGAGATAAAGTCAGAAGGAAGGCTTGGTGACATATTTCAGGAAAATTAGCCATTGGAAATCCTTGATGACAACTGAAGTCACACACATGAATGGCACACAGACATAACACAGAGAAATGAGATGAACGGACTTAGGGTGATTATCCTGTGTCTTTAAAAAGCAGTGCTCTTGGGATTCAGAAAAGCAGGGATGTGGAATACACAGTTAATAGAACATGGGCCTTCCGGGTTGGGCCCAACCGCCAAATGGCCCCTGAAAGCCAAGAACGGTAATTCCTCAAGTAAGGAAAAACCTTTCAAAAAACCGGCAAAAAAAGTAATTGGCCAACCCAAGTTTTGAAGCCGGGAACCTTAAAAATTTTCTCTGCCTTTATTGAATTTTTTAAATTGTCAAAATAGAAATAATTGTAGGTAAGGGAAGTGGCTGGATAGCATTTTTAATTGGACTTTGACAGATCTCCTCTCCTATTGATTTTACAGTAAAAGTTATTGTGTCACTGTGCATTTAAAATTACAGGTTTATTCATTAATCTAACGTAAAGTACCTCTCTGACCTCAGAGTCTGAGTTGGGAACACAAAATATCTTGGCACTATGTAAAGTAAGGATCTGGATGCCCTCATATCCTGACCTCCTTCCCAATACTGACACAGTGTTTATACTGAATCGTTTTAAAGCATATATTGCTGCATTTATTGAATTTATGAGAATGGGAATTTTAAACCTTCAGCTTTAATTGTGATTTAGAATACATGGATACAAAAAAATCTATGATTTAATTCTGTATAATTTGTTAATTTTTCTATGTTAGCTGAATATTAGGAACCATAGTAAACTAGACCTTGTAAAGAAGTAACAAGTTATGGTACATTTTTAAGTGAATTGGATCACATATTTTACTATAGCTTAGTTTGAAGGCTAATTTACAAGCAAAAAATTTGAAGCATTGGAGAAAAAATAAGCCAGTCCTTTTTCTTAATTTCCCAATTTATTGTTATTCTGAATCATTATAATCAATTTAGTTAAGAGTAGAAAATAAATCCACAAGGTCGGAAGTTCATAACCAACAGCTAGTCCGGAGGAGAAAAATGGGTTTTCTACTCCCGTAAAGAGTTACAGGCTCAGAAACTCACAAGAACAGTTCTACACTGCCCTGTCTGATCTTGATGAGTAGGTCTAGACTCAGTGACAGTGATTTGAAAACAAAGACAGGTGGAGTCCTTTTAAAATTGGTCTTTATTAAATTAGAACTGTTATAGATTGTGTTGTGTCCTTCCAAAAAAATATGTTTGAAGTCCAAGCCATTATAGATTTGGTTATAATTCCATTTTGGAAGAGTGTTTCTTTGTTATATTAATGAGAGGTTAGTGTATCGTGTGTCTTAAATCAGTGTCTTTTGAGATATAAAAGAGAAAAGTGAAGAGCCGGCAGAGAGATGCCAACCCACAGGAGGATACAGCAGGCACAAAAGTTCGGACACAAAGACCAGCCTCTGACGTAGAGAGTTTAAGAAAGCCTTCCAGTAGAGCCAGGACCCTGACTCAGGCTTTTGCTCCCTGAAAAAAAGAATTAAATAAAAAAGAAGTCTTACTTTTTGAAGCCCCCCACCTTGTGGTGACAATGGATAATTAAGATAACTACTAAAAGCTACATTTTTAATGATGCAAAATACTTTCATGTTATATATGTGTCTGTGTGTGTGATATGTGTTATATATATACATATATAATCATATTCAGAAAATAATTCAGGAATTTGGTCCATAAACAAGATGAGAACATGATATGGGAGACTAGCAGGAAATGGGGCGCTAACAACAACCAGGTGCAGAGAAGAAATGCCATGGAATAGATTGTAGTGATGGTTGTACAACTCTTAAGGGTATGATTGAACTACTGATATGTATGATATGCGTATTGTATGTTTGTGTATGTATTGTATGTCTTGTGTTCTTATAAAATTTGATATGAGGTCACTAATCATATGTAACATTTAACAACAAGGTAGCAGCTATGGGAGCACTTAGCAAACTTTAAAATTTTGAATATTCCCAGATATGGATGAATGCAGTGAATCAGTCACCTGTGGAGATCACGCAGTGTGTGAACACGTAGATGGGGGGTACAACTGCTCCTGTGAAGAAGGTTATCAGACGCCAACAGGAAATCTACAATTCAAACCTAACAGTGGCATTTACTGCCAAGGTAAATCATAGTACTAAAGTGCATGTGTTATCAAAGAACTAAGGGGACCTAGTGGCACCTAAAGCACTCAGCTGAAAATAAAAATGTGGCCATTCAAACCTATCAAGTGCTTCATGGGATTAAAATTGGGCAGCCTGTTTCTGTAGTTTGGAGCCTTGAAAACCCTGTGGGGCAGCTCTATCTACTCTGTCCTCTGGGATCACTGTGCTTTGGAATTGACTCCATAGCGACTCTCTATTAGCAAGCTAGATAAATTATGTCCTGCAGAATTATGAAGTATTAAAGAGGTGCACCATCTAAGGATTGTGTTTAGTTTCTATCAAGCTGAATTGAGAAAAGTAAGGACATGATTTTATTTACTTGAAGATGTAGCCAGCATGTTTTATTCAGTTTAACATATTTCTTAGATCTATAGTCTTATGCTGCCCATAAAATATTGCATATTCTAAAAAAATTGTAAGGAAAGAGAAGTGTTAAAGAATGTGTCTTTTTTAAATGTTTCCATAAAGATACAAAATTAATGGGGACTATAGGATAGGCTTAGTAAAACCTATTTTAAGAAACCAGGTAATCTATTTTCTCTTTCTACAGAAAACGTGAATTCAAGCTGCCATTTGGATAATGGTTGTATTGCTGCTAATATTAATAAAACCTTAACAAAAGTAAGTAGATGGGTTGAATTAAAAGATTATTTTACTTTTGAATTTTCATTTTAGTTAAGATCCTTCCAATAGTACATTTCAGAAGAACATTTTCAGAATCAGCATTTGACCTTCATGGATAGGGATCTAAGTATTTTATTGAATTGCAGATAAAATTAATTTGAAAATCTCCAAAGTATTGGGTGAGATCCTTGCATATATAATCTATGATACTTTTCCATTATTTGGTTTAATGGAAAATCCTTTTCAAAATGTTGATGAAAAATAGTAAAATTTCCTTGGACCTCAGGGAACTTCCCACATTTTAGGGAAATGGAGCTGAATACTGTTGGATTCTGTACTTCAAAGCGAATGTTTCAAAGAGCAAATAAAGTAGGAGATTCATAAAATTATTATGTGATTGAAAACTTGAATGTCAATAGACTTCAAATATCAGCTAATTAAAATTTCACTTTATATTATTATGAAAAATGTATCCTTGTTGATTAAAATCTAATCAAATTAACTAAAATTATGATTGATTGTTTTATACTAAAGCATATGAAGAAGCTTTAGAAGGGTTTTTGTTCTGTTTTTATTTTATTTTAAATGTGCAATACTTTATATTTGTTTTCTTTTTCTGGATGTATTTTTCCTCAGATTAAACCCATAAGAGAGCCTGTGGCTTTGCTACAAGAAGTTTATAGAAACTCTGTAACAAATCTTTCGCCAGTGGATATCATTACATATATAGAAATATTAGCTGAATCATCTACGTTTCTAGGTTACATAAAAAGCACTAATTCATCCAAGGACGCTCTTTCTAATTCAACCCTTACTGTAAGTCTGTTTATATTTCAATTTTAGAATCCGTTTTAACTCCAAAATCATCCTTGCATTAGTGTAATATTTCAACATTTTGAAAGATGTAATTTTTTTCTACAGGAATTTGTAAAGACTATGAATAATTTTGTTCAAAAGGATACATTTATAGTTTGGAATGAATTATCTCCAAATAGTAGAAGAATTCATCTTACTAAACTGATGCACACCGCTGAACAAGTAACTTTAAGCATTTGCCAGAATTTCAAAAAAATCACTCAATTCGATACTAACTCAAGCGACGTAGGTAAGAATCCAAGGTCAATTACAAAGCAATCCCCCACCCCCCCACAAATGAGTCATTCTAAAGCAAGGAGGAAAATTATTTCAAATACTTTTGATAATATTGAGCGTTTTATTTTTGTTTTCTCTCAGTGGAGAGATGACTGGTGATGATTAGCACATGAGTTATATGAGCATGGTAAGATAAAATGGATAAATATGTAAGTGCTTCCTCCTTCCTGCCATTTCTACCTTTTCCGGTTTCTGAACTGTTTAGCATTTAAATGCTCACAGTAGATTGCATTCTTGTCATTTTGAATCAATCATCTCAGGACTTGAGATCTAGCTTAACCACTGATAGCAACATACAGGTCTTCTAGATGTCATATATTTAAATGTATGTTTAGAAATTTTTCAGCACCTAATAATATGAAGCAATCAACATAGTAAATTGGAATCTGTCCTACTACATGCAACCTCATACATAAAACATTCATAATCTGGAATCAATTTGAGTTCTGAATAACAGTGTACATTTCTGAAATAATTTTCGCCTATGATACTAGTACATTCTTATGTTAGTGTCTTGCTATACAATACAGATATACTACAGTCGTAATCACATCTGGATTCTCCATTTATTCAAAGTTAAGGTTGCAAGCTTGTGAATAATATATAGGAGCCTTACATTTCTTGATGATATTGGTGCATGAAAGAGGTAAAATTCACAAGTAACAGAAGTAATCTCAAGAATTCAAGTCATTCTCTATTTAGTAAATATTATACCAGATACTATCTTCTAAGGTACTATAGTTGTAGTTTTTGTTTTATTAATTAGTATTTAAAGCTCCTCTGAGTATATCTTAATTATAGCCTTGCTTTAATTCAATCAATATTAAAACAAACCATGTGTGATGTGCTGAAACCCAAATTTAAGATTTTAGTCACAGTATTAAAATATAAATTATAATGCCCAAATATCTTCAGAGTATGCTCATACAACCTACTATAGAAAAAAAAACAAAGTACAATAAAAGTATCTCAAATTAAATAAATACATTTATTAAACTAATTTCAATGAATTTATTATTCTCATGGTTTGTTTCAGCTCTTGAAGTTTTCTTTTTTGAATCATATCAAATGGAACATCTCCATCCCCGAATGAACATGAATGGAGATTACATAAAGATATTCCCAAAGAGGAAAACAGCATACGAGTCAGGTGGTAAGAAGATCTTGACATTATCTTAGATACAGTATCTCTATTAATTTTCATAAAGTCTAATATGCATTTAATTATATTATATATATTATATCTGTGCTTTCCTATAAATAAAATACTTGAGTCTTTTATATATAACATTTTCATCATTGCCTTTGCTTGCTTTCTGATATAAATATGGGGGAAGATTTTTGCCTGAAAAGATCTTTGTACTTTTTATTTTACTATCAAGCTGTATAACTGACTGATATTTTCAAGACTCTTGCAAAAATACACCAAGAGACTTGATCATACTACTCCTTAGGCATCATGCACTGGAGCCTGTGATTTACATAACATGCTTTTAATATTCCTTCCACGATTGTCCTTCATATTCTTCATTGTGACACTAAACCTGTGGCTGTGTGAAAAAGACAGAGAAATAATGTTCCAAAAGACATATATTTATGGCTTAAGCTTAAGATTTTGCTTCTATTAGTCCTCATACTTTGAACAGAAAATTGTTCAACTTAACTAGAATGTGTATTAAATATACATATTCATCTACCTTCTAATTTTCTGGGTTTTCTGATATATTTTAGAAATACTAGTGATTTCTGATCTATATTTCACATATATAGAAAATATATATTTATTTATTTATGCACACACATTTTTTATATATATATATATAAATATATATATATATTTATATGTATTTATTTATTTATTTATACACACACATTTCCAATATATAACAGAAAACACAAATGCTGGCCAAAAAAGTAATAATTATATAAAGTTGTTTCTGAATTTATGGGTATTGAAACTGAGGAACAGAGATGCTATGGGACTTGCCTTCATGAGCATACTTAAATAATGCAAACCCAGAACTAGAAAAGAGAGAGAGTTAACCAAGAAATTAACCCCAAACAACTTTCCCTTATTCTTTGTTTGAGGCAAGTGAACAGCTACTATTTTAACCTAACCATTTCTCTGCTCTCTTAAATACAGTGCCTGCTGATAGGAGGGTTCTTTTAGTAGTTGTTATGGTAATAGAGGTAAAGGAAATATTACCCTGGAAATATATTAATTATAATTAATTTCTCAAAAAATGCAAGGATGATCATAAATATAAATAAAATATATTATGCAGATTGGTTCATGTATAGATGGGCACATTTTCAGAAAAGGTGTGTCATTCATCATTGCTACATATTCATCCTCAAAAAAATGTCTTTTACTCTTTTACAGCAGTGATAGGAGATTTTTGTCCTAATACATCTATATTGTCTTGTTAATTTGTTCTTATTATATGATCTTAAATTGCAAGAAACACTAGTGTAGCCATAAAACAAAGCAAATATCAATGAGGCCTTATCAGCATGGTTCCTACTTGATGACATCATGTGCTAATTAACCAGATTCACTTTGAACATCTAGGAACAGATCCAAAGAGTGTGTTCAACTATGGGAATTTCAAAAACAATTTGAATAAGGCTTAACAATTGGGGAATGGGAGTTGGGCAGGACATTGAAAATATCTATTATAGTGGCATGTCAACACCATTCGAATTAGTATCTCAAAGAGATGCTGCTGAATCTATTGTCACTGCTGTAGTTAATAATCCGCTGCAAACCCTGACATATGAAAGAGATGATCATAACAATATTTGAGAAGGCAGTGTGAAGAGACTTGCTTTCTCAAGTTTCACAGTCTAATCAACCCACTCAACTGTGTTCACATGTTATTACTCATTTTGTCATAAAATACATGTATTAATGAAAATCTGAAAACTGTAATTAGTAGCAAATTTTAGGAGGTTCATAGAGGCCCAAGGGACTTACAATCCTTCTGTTTGACTGAATTAGATGAATGAGGGACAAGAGTTGAGAATGAAAACAGGAAGATCCAATGTTTTAAACTATACTTATAATAAAAAGATAATAAACTTTAGTTTGCATGTTGTGCTTATTTTTTTAAGTTGCTTATGGAATTGGAATAATATTATGATGAAAATAGAACACTGTAGAAAGACCTAATGAACAGGTGCAAGTCAGTTACTCTCAAGTGAAAATAGCAAGACAGCAGTTGGCCAACAATGATTTTCTTAGGAGTTGTAATTCATTGTAGATTTTATTTTGTATTCTCTCTATAACTTACTTAGCATACTGGTTTGCAATAAGTAAATGCTTGCATCTGAAATCTCTTCATTGAATTGAAGGCTACAATAGTCTTAGTCCTAAGATAGCTATGGTAGCATTAACAGATGTACAAGAGAACAGAAGGCAAATGTAGATAAATAAATCACGAGGAAGGGTTGATGATGAGATGATAAGAAATTACCCTGCACGTTTTCACTCTCGAATCCACTGCCGTTGAGTTGCTTCTGGCTTGAAAGACCCAGCAGACAGAGCAGAACAGCTACATAGTTTGGTTTTGTTTTTCCAAACAGTTTTATCGGCATACGATTCACATATCATACAATCAGATCAAGAAGAGTTGTACAGTCATAACCACAATCAGTTTTAGAACACTCTCTTCATTCTTGTCCTCATCATTTTTAGCTCTCCATTTCCCCGTCTACCTTGCCATACCCCTAAGGAACCATTAATTTAGTAAAGTCTCTATAGATTGACTTTTCTGCATTTTGTATACAGAAGAAAAAAACTAACTAGCATGACAAAGTATAACAGATAAAACTATAGAAAAGATATTTTAAAAAACATTACAAACTAGAACAAATTTAAATGTATCATAAAGAAAACCAAATGATAGTGTGCTAAGTTTTCACCTAGCTGCATCCGCAACAATCTCCTTCCAATGCTTTCTGCAAGTTCGCAAGGCTATGCCCATCCCTGGTCAGAGGTGGTTTAAGCCACGTGTATCCTCCCCCTTTTTATACAACTGAAACAACTTTTAAATGGATATAAAAGGAGGTCAAATGACAAGATAATGCATTTTGAACTAACTACTTCTGCCATAATCACTTTAAAACCCTCTCTGTCTGATAACAGGACTACTTACATCCCTCAAATATGATCAAAGGGGATTCACCAAGGCTTAATCCATATGGGGACCCTGCAAATGGATTTTAGGCTTCCAATGTCATCCATAGCCTTCTGCAAACCAGGTGTTCACAATTTTATCTCTGATGCCATTCCCTCCTTTAGATTTATACTATATTATTTACAATACTTGGATCACACAGGCTGGACTGCTTCTTCCATGTGGACTTAGTTGATGCCTCACTTAGGGGTCTGTTTGTTTAAAAAACAAGCTTTTAAGACTCCAGAAGCAATTCTTTCTGATAGCCAGGCACCATCTAGTTTCTTCACCACACTTTGCTATGGAACTCATATCTTCAGTAATCAAGCATCAAGCATATATAGTTTCTTTGAGGCTGTAAATATTAATGTAAGCAGGCAGCTTCAACTTTCTACTCTGGAGTGGCTGGTTGTTTTGCACCACGGACCTTTTGGTTAGCAGCCCAGTGCTTAAACTATTATGCCACTGTGCAAAAGGACCCATTTTAGCCCCTAATGAGTTTTTAAATGTAGTTCAGTGAAGAAGGTGTAAAACTGATTAGATAATAAAAAATATATATCAGGACTAGAATTAATGAGAAATAATTTGAAATTAAAGAAAATAAAAATGATGAGAATGGACACATACTGAAATAACATTCAGAAAACAGGTGAAAAAGGAAATTTGGGAACACATACAATATTCCATGTGACATTAACCACCCCACTTAGTCACAGTCAAAATTTGATGTTAGATTTGTTTTTGGTTTTTTCTTTTAGAAAGGATGACAATCAGTGATCAGTAGATTAAAAAATAAAAAAAACCCACTAACTTTGGAGCTTCATTTGCTTTTCAGTGCCTCTTGTTAGGACCTTCTGAAAAACCATTGTCCATGTGTGCACTAGCTCATCCTCTGGACCAGATCCGGTTAACCTGAAGGTTTTCAGGTCTGCTTCAGGCCCCGGTTTTATAATCTCATGGAATCATCATAATTTCACCATTTCAATCATCATGTTACACTGACTTCAGTTTTTTTCTGTGTTATATGTTTTCTAGACTGTCGATTCAGGGGGAAAATGTAGGTAATGTAAAAATGTACGTAATGTATGTAAAGTAATTTCAGCAAACCCCTAAGTAATGTCTCACATGATGCTTTTTCAGATTTAAGATACAATAACATAAACAAACGACACACACTCACAATTCTATCTCTTGTAGCCATCAATATTTACCACTATGATATCAAATCTATGGATGATTCCAGACTATACAGTATTTCTTTGTTTTGTACAATATTATCAATATTTGTATTTATTATTTTAGTTAATGTATGCTTATTATATTATTTTCTGCGATCACAAATTTAAGGGAACAACACCATGGTAGAACTATTCCTGAGTTATTTCAGTGCCCAACTACCAAAAATAAAACAAACAAACCCAGAATGTCTAGTTAATAAGTATAACAATCAATATAGAAAGAACTCTCTTATCTAACATCTACTTGTATCTCAACCCATCCTAATAAGTGGGTATAGTGAAGAGTGAGTGCTAGCTTCCCTTTTTTAAGCGGGGAATCTAAATTTCTAAATATGTAATTGATTTACCTGCAGGCCTCAGGTACGATTAGTGACGTAAAGCAGAACTTTTAAATCCTAACGTCAATTGTGAATATAAAGTCTTAATTTCAGTGCATATAATTGAGTGCCATGAGCACAAGGGAACAGGACATAACAACAGAACATTTTGCAATAACAGATCCATTGAGTTGCTTAATATTAGTGATATCCAGCTGCCACAAACCTGAGACAATTTGTGATTCCATTTCTAGCACTATTGTGTTCAGGTTCAAAAAGAAAATAATCACACTGTACTCAGTGCTGAGAAGTTGGCATTCCAGGTGTTGAATTGTATGCTGATGTACTTGCATTTGATGAGTGTTTGTATGCAAGGAGGAGGCAAATAACTGGTTACCCTACAAAGTCATTATTTATTACCCAAAGATTGGATGTCATCAGTATTAACTAGGATCCATTTCAATGACATGAGGTTAAATTCAACAACATTTTAATAACTTATTCTTTAACTCTGAGCCCTTTTTTTTCTTTTAAGTTAGAAGCGCACTGCTTATTGTAGTGGTTTTATTTTATGTATTAATTTGTGAATAAAAACAATTGTTCTTCTAAGAACCAAAGAATATTTTATCATATAAACTGGCAAATGTTTTCTTCAACTCAAAACTTGTTTAGACACTCAGCTCATTTTCTCTATATTTGAACACAGAGCAGTGGTTCTCAGCCTTCCTAACGCCATGACCCTTTTACAGTTCCTCATGTTGTGGTGACCCGCCCCCCAATCATAAAATTATTTTCGCTGCTACTTCATAATTGCAATTTTGCTACTGTTATGAAACAGGCAACCCCTGTGAAAGGGTCGTTCAACCCCCAAAGGGGTCGCGACCCACAGGTTGAGAATCACTGACATAGAAGAACTAACCCAGAATTTTATCTTTTGATTGAATACACTTCACACCCTAGTTCTCAGTCAGAAAATAATTTGGGGGGCTAAATAGTTTGTGCAGAGCGGTGTCTTCAATCTATGACAAGTTTATCTGGATAGGGTTCAGAGATGATAAGTCTTAATATGAGCTGATGATGTAGGTATGGCCTGATTTTGACCCACATTTTAGGAATGTTTTTCTTTTTATGGTTTCTTTAGAGTATAAGCTTGTCTAGTGAATTCTAAATTGTATATTGACAGTAAATACACACTAATTTTATAAGCATTTTACTGTATTCATGTCTTTGATTGATAGGCAATGCTACAGTGGCATTTTTATATTATAAAAGTATCGGACCCTTGCTGTCATCATCTGACAACTTATTGGAGCCTCAAAATTATGATAACTCTGAAGATGGAGAAAGAGTCATCTCTTCAGTAATTTCTGTGTCAATGAGCTCAAATCCACCCACATTTTATGAACTTGAAAGCATTGCATTTACATTAAGTCACACAAGGGTAAGTTTCTTTTCAGATGGCTGTTAGTTATAATTGTGATATATTCAGAGAAGTGAGTTCTGTGTTTGTGTGCTACTTCCATTGCATATGATGTCCAGAAGATCTTAGCAATATATATATAGTAAACATTGAAATAAAGAAATAATGTGGTTTCAACTATTTAAAAAAAACTATTTCATAATTTAAATGGTCTTGAAACTTTCTAATGAATATCATAGAATTTCATACATTTGACTCTAAAATTAAGCTGTAGTTTTAGTTTTACATTTAAGTGCATTATTTCTTCTAAAAAGTTCCATACATTCAATGAATGAGCTTAGCAAAATAAGGATCACAATATAGTACCAATGAGGTAAATATCACCTGTGAAATGAGGGAGGTATTTGAATAGTAATTTTAATTTAATATAAAAATTTCAATAAGTTAGATATTGATTTATTTTAATCAGTACTTCATTATAGAAAAGTTCAAGCATTACTGAATGTACAAGAGCATTTTTTGAAGAAATTAACTGAAACCTTTTCACTTTTATCTTTATTTAAACTCATATGTAATTAAAACTATGCATACACACAAATGATAAGTAACTCCTTTTTTATATTCCTAGAAATGTATGAGGAAGTTTGAAATTGATCATTATTTTCTATCTATTTATTGTTGATGATTTCTTTAGTATCAATATAATTTGAGTAAATGGTGGAAGTACCTCAAATTCCTTTTGGAGAACCTTGAAATTGTCCAATTAGCCCAATCACTGTCCTCTTAACCTCAGTCTAGCTACACTGTGTGACATTGCTTTTGTTTCTGCCTCCTTATTTTCTTCTACTATTTATGTTCCATTTTCTTGTTTAATAATTT